TTATTTGGTTGTTTATTTGGTTGTTTATTTGGTTGTTTATTTGGTTGTTTATTTGGTTGTTTATTTGGTTGTTTATTTGGTTGTTTATTTGGTTGTTTATTTATTTATTATTATTTATTTATTTATTTATTCATTCATTCTTGTAACAAGTGTATCTGACTAGCCATATAATAAATACGTGACTTTATTAGGACATCAGCAGGGGGTGGAAGTACACGTGCTTTCAAGAGATCGAGCTTGAAAGACCCCTGTAATCGCAAGGACCTGAAGAGGACGCTCATTGCGAAAGCTCGGGAAGGAGGGATCAGTACCGCGGACAGCTCCCCACGGAGCCCTTATTAGCCCTGAATCTGCGAAGCAGCGAGCACCACTTCGCTCCCCCATCTCCGCTTTCTTCCCGGGACGAAAAAAAATAAAAAATAAAAAGATTGCGCGGTAGGAAATACGCCCAGATCCAGACTGCTGCATACATCATCTAGACGACGCGCATCAAGCTTCCAAGTCGGTACTGCAAAGCATAGAATCTCTTTTTATTGGATCTCCAACCGTGGCCTTGTGGACTGTGGATATCCCCTGGCTGCTAAAGAGCAGAGAAAAGTTTCAGCGGGTAGGGGGACGAGGAGAGCATTCCTTGTCTCCCCGCCCCAGAGAAGGCGAATGTCTGGTTTTAGTAGCTGAACTGGTAGGAATGATGACGGAGAGAGGATGTGCACCAGCAGCCAGATCATCGGGAGCCTCCTGCTGTTATCCATGCTGGAGATAGGGCTGGGAGTCTCTAGCGTGGCCGTGGGGGCAGTCAGCTTCAGCTTCGTTTTTGCAGGTTCTGAGCGTTCAACTCAGCTGGGAGACTCTTCTCCGGTATGGAGCGGGGTGTGTGTACGTTAGCTATTTCACTCTCTTTTAACTCTTGGTGGTGAATGCAGTCTGCTCTCGAATCCCCCTTCTTTTGTGCAGCTCTCCTTTCTTTCCTCTCCCTCGCTTTTCTTGCATGCTTTGTGTAGTTTGACCTGCATGATTCGACCCTAGAAGCTGCATCTCTAATTCCTAGAACAAAACCTGAACTATATTTGAGCAAGCAAAGGGAAGGCTATGCCCCCCCCCCAGCTCCCTTCAAAGCCACAGAACACTGGGGGTCACATACTCAGGGCCAAAAAAATTGGGAATGTCAAACTCTGCCCTCTCTAACCACACTCTATGCTGACGGTATAAAATAACCTTGTTCCAAACATCTGACAGTTTCAAGTCAGGATAAATAAATGTCTATGTGAAAAGTATACATTTTTGAAAAATTGGAAGATCTGAGAGTTTTGAAGCACTGCATTATATGCTTGTGCTTAGGCAGAGTCTTCTGCTTAAGGTTTCACTAGCAATTCAACAGGCCACTTTACATTTGGGGGAATTCATTTTTCATTGTGGCATGTTATATTGTTGATCAATTTCTTGGTAAGAAAAGCAAATAAAATGCTGGTGTTTACATTGTATTCAGTTTCATTGTATTCAATTTCATGAGCTGGACACTTACAGCAGAAGCTTAAGTAAGGATAGTCTTAAACTCCTTCTGAAAGGAGTAAAGTAATCTATAAATTTCATTGGCTTTTGTCTCTGTGTAAGCAAAAATATTCAATTTCCATAGATATTACTTATCATTTAAATTTAATTTAGTACTAAATTAGTAAAGTATTAAAAACCACCTAAAAAGGTAAGATTTAAATATGCTTAATTTTCTACATAGTGCCCAGTACTGCTTAAAGTTACAGTGATGGCAATAATAACTAAACAGTCTCATTAAAACATCAGTGGAACTTTTGTCCTGAAGAGGAAGTATAAGCTGATTGAAGAATTTACTTTCCAGTTATATTTCCTGTAAATATAATATGAAATTCATAATTTTAGTTTTCATTTGCTAGAACAAGATAAAAAAGATATGATACTTTTATAACCTGAACTGTTTTTTTTTTAAAGGCAACCAACTGGAAATAAATGAAATATTATTCGTAAAATGTCTACCTCTTTGATAGAATGAAAAATGATGTAGCAATGCTTATGAGTGCATATACTCTCTTGTTTTAAAGTGAAAACTTTTGTTTTGTTTAAATGTCCACTTTTGTATACCTCCATACAATTACTGACATTTATAATAATGGAAAATAGTAACACCCGGATTAATTTTGGGGAGCAGGAAAAGTATCTATAGATAATTGTGATAACTAGGGCTCATGTCTTCATATTTTTAGATTGTATCACATATTTTTGTGCAACTGAACCGAGAAGTATTCAGGCCACCTGCAAAGCAACCAAAATGGCTGTTGGGATTACGCAAATCCCACTCTTTTTACTTTTTTAAGTTCACAAATTTGGCACAAATTAATATTGTCCTGTTGATATTGTTCTATTTGAAAGCGGACCCTGCACCTGCAGGACTAAGCTAGGAAAAAGAATATTGTTTTATTTGTAATGTTTAGATTTAGCCTTGTATCTATTATGCCACTATATAGTTTAAGAAAGATAGTTCACTCTTTTTCCTTTCTAGATCACTTGTCTCTGTGCATGCCCATATGTTGAGAATTGTGTGTCTCCTACATAAGCAGCATGTGAATTGTTGCATCATATTCATTTCCACTGCAAAATGGCTTTTTGTGACTGACCTGTATATATCTTTCTCCATTAATACTGGATCCTTAATAAGGAGAAGAAAGAAATAGTGTGACTACCAGATGGCTTGTAAATTTAGCATTTTCACCAACCAAAACTTGTGTTTTTATGGATCTCCAGTTTTTATCTTCTAAATTGTCATTTTCAAGAAGTTTTGGAAATTGCCTCTATCTATATTATACTGAAGTGTTCTTAGCATTACTTCAGATATAAAGCTCCAGTAGTTGCTTGGGACTAGAAAGGATGCTGAATTTATTTACATAATTAAATGTCTCCTAATCTCTGGCTTCTAAAAGACTAGTTAATGTAAAACCTTCATATGAATGGCTAGTGAGAATCAAACCAATAATCTGCTTTTAATTACTCTAGTACTGTGATGGCGAACCTATGGTACTCGTGCCAGAAGTGACATGCAGAGCTGTCTCCCTAGGCACACCAGCTGTTGCCTGTTTCTCTTCCGGGTTCTGGCATGTACATGATGACGGCCAGGTGTCTTTCACATGCATGGGAGTACTAGAAACCAGAAGAGCAGCTCCCTGGCATGCATGTGCTTGCGGGAAGATGAGTTTCTGGTTTCCAGTGCACATATGTGTACTGGCCAGCTGGTATTCACCAGCACATGCATGCCAAAAAACAAAGACCAGTTGACCTGGAAACCAGGAGTTCAGCTTCCTAGTGCATATATACATTCCAAGGAATTACTCTTCTGGTTTCTGGCGCTCCCACATGTGCACTCCAGAGAGCTGCTCTTTCAGTTTCTGGTGCTTCTCCCACCCCTGCACATGCACATATTCCCATTTCGGCACATTGTGCCAAAAAGTTTCGCCAACACTGCTTTAGTATAAAGCTGATGATTTTATAATTAGGGTCATATTACATTTTAAATAATTTAATATGTATGATTTCATGTGTAACACATCCTTATACTGTGATTTTATATAATATGCTATGCCATAAACTCTAATTTGTAGCAGAAATGACTGGATTCAAACAACAGGCAATTCTGCCCTTAATCCACTGTCTATATTCTAGGAATTCAGTTCATTAATCTGAAAAATCCCAACTAAATTTAATTTGGAGGGTGGGTGTCAAAACTTAATTCAAATAATAGACTTGATTAACCACTGCTATGTTTTCAACTATGATAGACTCAGGTAACAAAAATAGGATGAAGCAAAAATCCAAAAATGAATAACTTCTGAGGCATAGCATTATGGCAAAGCTAATTTGCATCTACTTATTTTCTATTTTCTAAAAATAACATAACATAAAAATGCAAAGACCTTTGACCCACTTCAGTTTTCAAATAGCTATATAGAAGCCCAGTTTCATACTTAAGGGACTAGCAGAAAGGTTACTATGGAAACCTTAACTCTGAATATCCCATTTTACATAGATGGAAATAATCCATATCTCTATTTCATCTACATCCTTACAAACTACAAAAATCCTCTGAAACTATCACATAACATGTTTTCTTATTTATCTGCATCTTTCTTACGTATCTTACAAATTGCTTTAGCAAACTCCACATGATATAATCCAAAGGCCCAGAAGATAATTATAAAATACCAAATAACAATGTAATAAATCATCACAGCCTATAAATGTTTAAGCTCACTTTAGAATTATTAACATGAAATCAAAATCTATCACTAAATGTGATAGTTAAAAACTATGTGAATTTTTTAAAAAATTAAACATGTTTTCCAAAGGCAAAGATAGATAAAGCAAAACAGAAAAAAAGGATATATTTTTTAGCATCATCCTTGTTCAATCGCTAAGACCACAGCACACCAAGCATAGGCCTTAGTTACCATTATAAAAATGATTTTTGGCAATAATAACAATAGATAGACAAAAGCAATCATATAGCATGATGCTATTCCAATAGTCAGTGTTATACTGATGCTTTCCAAACCATTAATTAAACTTGATATCTCAGTTCTAAGAACTATTTTTTCAAATAATGAATATTCATAAATAGAAATTAATGAAACTATTTAATTATGCACAAAAACTAATAGCATACAATTAACAAAGTCTTAACAAAGGTGGTTAAAACATCCTATTAGCCTCTATCAATATTCAAACTGGGAGACGGAATAATTTCTGGCAATAGGAATATAACTGGACAACTTAGAAATCTTTATTCTAAAAGCAAAAGAACTAGGGGTTTTGTTATCAGTAAATACAATCACATTTATTTAAATGTGTATATATATTGTGAAACTTGAACCACATGATATTCATCAGTATTATGTCAAAATATATTCTGTAGTATAGGAGCCAATGTCCATGAATATAAAGATTTCCTGGACTACATATGTAAAGAATCATAAAACTGAAAAGGGCATTACATTTTTGGGTACAGTCCTCTGCTCAATGTTAAAGCATCCCCAATCAATGAATTACTAACCTGTGTTTGAACACATTCAATGTGTTCAATGTATTCAAACACATTGAAATGAATATGTTTCAATGAAACTTTCAAGAATTGCTTTATTATGAAGAGCCCTCCTCCCCACTTTAAACTGCCTTCCTGTATTCAGTAATCCATGCTCTCTACTCTCGACTGATACAAGGCTAGATTATTTTCCTGTATGGTTTCTTTTCAGATATTTGAAGACTCCTCCCTCAGTCCTCTCAAAGTATACATGCTGTTTCCTTCAATTTCCTTTTATTGGAATTAGATCATTTGAACTTCTTTATTGCCTGTGTTAGAACTTTCTTCAGTTTGATATGGTCCTTGAAACACCATTTAGGAGTTTTAGCAGAGCAGAATAGAGTGAAATAATGATTTCCTGTGGTTTAGAAACTCTTCTTCTGTTGATACAGCCTACACTTCAATTTGCATTTTGGCAGCCTTGACACATTGCTGACTCATACTAAATTTATATCAACTCCTTCTCTGGGATGTTTTCTTCAAATATTATTAGAGGCCAGGTTAACCCCATTCTGTACCTGTACATTGATTTCATTTTCTTAAATGAAAAATTTGGTATTTGCATTTTCAGATAATTTTAATTATATTTATTAGAATATAATTTTTTTGCTCTCCGAAGACTGAAGAAAATTTCATTAAAATTATTTCTGAATTCTGAATAAATGTGCATATTGCACTAAAATATCAAATTCAGATAAATTTATGGACCTTGTAAGCGAGACCAACCTAATATCTCAAAATATAAACATTACCAATATATCTTAGAATACTTGTTTAC